AATCGTCTGATTCCGCGTCTGTGAAATGATTCATCTCCTCAGCCGATGAGATCATCGACGACTCGACGAACTTTTGCAAGACTTTAACTCGTTGTCCAATTTCCATTGATTATTTCAATGCTCATTTGAAGTTTTGGTCGCCAAATAGACGGTAAATGCAATTCACGATGTATTCATTGGCTCGTTACATTGACTCTCTGTGTATATTTAATTTGTCATATTATGCAATTTGTGTGTGGTTATGTTTTATACGTAAATTAGTGAGACCCGACGATATTAGTGTCACGGTCACTGGCAACCCCTGTGGTAATCAACGTGTCAATAAATCTCTCGCGAAATCTCGCTGCTGGTTACCTCGCGGAGAAGCGACGAACTATTGCAAACAAGCTCCTGATATATCATTCTATATGTTTAATATTTGTTCACATTGTGCTTCTCGCGATGCGAGGTGTATCTGCATATTTCCTTCGCTTGATCGATGTACTCATTAACCTCGAAGTGCTGACTTCGCATACATAGACCCCCGTCGATAACGGTATTCACGCCGCATGCCGGATGCGACCTGCGTACGCGATAATCATGAGATCCATCGCTCGGTTCGTTTTCTGGCGCGATTACACAGTTGCGTCTCGAACTCCGGGTGGAAACAGCCAGATGAACGGTACATCGGCAGTATATTTACGCGCGAAGTCGTCGTGGAAGACTTCGATCCACCGGTCACTATCGCCGCGGATCCCGGCCAGCCGAAACCGAGCCACGCTGTTCATCCCTTTAGCGGCCGTGAAAAATTCGCCGCGACAAACGCAACATCGATGTGTGACAAACTCAAATCGAATTTTTAGACGAATTTTCAGAATTTCGCGGTATCAACATCGAGAGAAAAAAACATTGCCGATTGCTCTCTAAATTTCCTAGAATGAAATCTCACTTGAAAAGTGACCACCGAGTCACTCGAATTTGAATAACTTTTAGCTCATATAAAGTGAATTCTCCATTCTGAATCGTCGAGTAAATGTTTCCACTTGAAATTGAGAAGTGAAGCTGATGTACATCCGGCGTCATGTATCTCCTAGACGGAAAATTATACGATTTTCACCCTTATACATAACTCATTAGGTTGAAAATCGTATAAGTAACTCTAATTATAATGATGGGATTATGATGATTCTAATTATAACGGTTTTGACCTTATGTGTATATGTGTAAGCCTAAGATTATATCATTTTCGATGTAAGGAATAATACAGCATACATGACGCCGACTATATCACACCGTTACAAAAAGAACATATTTACTCCAATCGATCGAAACATATGAAATCGGAATTTATTTTAAGCTCGAATGAAACATTCACTCTTGTGATTTCGAGTGGCGGTATTTTCATTATCGCTTCGAATAAAGTACTACTATTTTTCATTTCTTTTCAGTGAGATTTTACTCCAAGAGAGTATATCTTTTTATTGTTCTAACAAAAAAATCATAGTAACGATAGATATACTACTTGCTACAAAAATAATTTTCCTGGCTGTAATTCCTTCACTGTGCGATTATAGTTACAAATACCAAATGTCTTTTCTTCGTGTGCCGAGTAAATTTGCGTTCCGTAAAATGTAAACCGTAAACTGAGGTTGTCCACGATATACCGCATTGCAGGAAGGTGGTAGCCGATCTTCCTTCGGCTTCGGGATTAGATAGCGCTTAAGCCTGACTTACGCGAGGTCTTCGAGGTTGCGCGCGGGGTCCTGACAGTGAATAACAGTTCGGCGCATTTTCTAAGGATCGTGCGCGAGCGCCGAGTATAAATCGTTGCTGTTTCGTTGTAATTAATCGCACCGGCCCGGTGAAATATTACCTTCGTTAAATTATCACGGGAATTCATTGCTCGGCGATTTGTCGTAAATTCACGCCATTAGGGGCGTAATAGTGAGTCGATTGAAATAACTTCACGGAGTGGAGAAAGGGAAGAGAGAGAGAGAGAGAGAGAGAAAGAGAGAAAAAATCCTTCCTTCCTTCTTTCCTTCCTTAGGCGCTCGGAAAAGAATCTCACAAGGAAGAAATAAGAACGACGTGAAATTCTCTGTGACGCCACCACGAAAATCGATTATCCGACGATTTCTGATCCGGGAATTAACGCGATAAAGGGCCTGCAACGAGCGATGTCCGGATCTACTTCCGAGGTATTCCGAGAGATCCCTTCTTCGTCTGATTCGCGATATAGGAATAATAATGACATTACGCAAGCTTCATTAGATTACCGCGAAAATTAATTGCTCCGTAATTTGTTGTTGTTAATTAACACTGATAGAACGCAATAACGATCCGAATGAGATACTTGCGCAATGAAGAGTCCATCTCTCTCGAGCTCGCTTCGAAAACGAATCGAAACGGAATAATAACGTTACCGTACCTTCCACAGGATTAACGCGAAAGTCGATTAGTGTTAACAAAAGCTAACTGCAATTAAGGATTCGCTGTAACAAAGTGAATTCCTCCTTGTACGGCCCGAAAGAATTATCAGAGAGACCGTGATAGATATTGATAAAATTAAATTTTTATCGTAACGAGCGATTATCTCGTTAAAACGAAGATAAGCAATTTATTCGATAGAGCAAGTAATTATTGCGGTAAAATAATATCTGTGCGAGAGAATTAATTAGTCTCAATTTGTCATCAAATAACTGTATTCATAAATGTCGACACGATAATCGTGCATTTCCGTCCGACATTTTTCATCAAAGAACTATTTAACTATATTAAGCAAAAAATAAGAACAGCGACTACTCTCTCTCTCTCTCTCTCTTTCATACATACACATATTCTCTCGATATTTTCCTTTTTATATTCGTTTGCATACTGAGCGGAGAAACACGAACAAAATCGGATTTAGAATTCCATCGGGAGTACCGCGTTCAAAACTTTTCAACGGAAATCATATTAAATTGCGCCGATATTTTCGAGGGACGTTTCGAATGTACGAACCGAATACCAGATGGTAATACCGTCCGATCGCAAATCGCTGTAAAGTAGCAAACGAAGTGACCAAACGTGGAATCGATATGGCCTTTGAACAGCGACACGCGACGCTACATGCAAGCAATACAGGGTGTTCCACGGTTTTCCGACCTTAACTTCAATGATGAAAATTGATACTGATTACATCGCGATATTACATCCAGAGGTGAAGTTAATTACGCGTGATTGCAGCCTTTTGCTGCAATATGATGTAAATTTTTGCCGGGATATTATATAAATTCATGAGAGAGAGAGGGAGAAAGAGAGAGACGCGCGCGCGACGTGTACGCACATCGAAATTAAGTTCGACGATTTAATCAAAAGTTGTCTCAAGCGACCTTTTCGTCCGCTACATAAATTCATCGCACATCATACGCCGGAAGTATGCGGAAGCTGCGCGGAATAACAAGAGAATTAATCATAGTCATATTCTGACGTCTCGCATACGTTAAGTAAACAAACTTAGTCGAGCGTTCCGCGATTTTAATGAAGATAAATTGCGTTCCTGCCCGAGAGTCACCCAATAGCTAAGATAAATAGTAATCTTGGAGATGGGGAGAGGGCGCGAATAGAATGATAGATTTTGTATCTTAACCGTGGAAAAACTGGTGATCTCCCCTTTCGTGGGGAAATTTGCGCGAGACCTCCCTTCTACGTGGGAAGAGACAATGGTTTTATCGCTTAATGAATCATTTATCGTGTAGAACGAACGAACGAACGCGGGATAGATCGCGGAGTTCAAAATTTCATTAAAAAGTAACCGGCGTTGGGCTGCGTGACGATGCTGTGCCACGTCAGAAGGAAGTATTTCGTGTTGCGCTCAAGAGCGCCCGCTGCCTCGTCGGTCGGTGTTACTCGAGCGAGGAAAACGCCAAAGAGAAAGAATGAATGGCTTGGGGGAAAAAGAGAGAAAGAGAGACAGAGAGAAAGGACACGCGTTGGTACACAAATTTAATTAAGAATTAAGTCGATGAGCTTAGGAGTTCCGGAGACAGGGGAGAGGAGAGAACGGGAAGTTCTGAAACGTTCTCTCAGGACATCCTGACTCGCACTCTTCGGTATTTTCTTCCTAAAAGAAAGGTCCCCGAACGGAGGCAAGAAGAACGTAAGTAAAGAGCGAGAGAGCGAGCGAGCGAGCGAGCGAGAGAGAGAGAGAGAGAGAAAGGAAAAGGCGGAGCGGAGGAAAATACGAGAGCAAGAGGAACGTTCGCTAGACGGCAATAAATCGTGGCAAAGTATCGGCTTACACGCACCGACGGGAGCAACGGTGCTAGCGAGAAGAATCTCGCGAGCGAGCACGGGGTAGGTGGGTAGATAGGGTAGGTAGGTTGGTACGTTTACATTCGCCTTATGGAAACAAACCGTGAACCATGGCAGATGCCATCGAAACGCCAGAACGCACACGACGGTCCGGCGTAGCCGGGATATTTGAAAATAAGAAGTTGCGAGATATTTCTCGAGAGAGATGCACTTTGAAAAAGATATATATAAATATATCATTATAAATAAGTGAGAAAATAAATATATATTCATTCATTTTTATATATAGAGTAAAAATATTTTATTAACCACTAAAGATCAAGATGAATAAAGTTTACATTTACAGATGTTCGAAGTGACGACCATTGGTATCAGTGCGATCTTTCAGTTGGATCAAATTGTTCTCTCTTCTATTTTACCATTTCGAAGATATTCAAAGTAAGATATAGTTATTGCCTCACTCTATATATTTATAATATATATCAAATATGTTTTATTGATTTATTTATACTTATATGCGTATCTCCGTGGAAATATCTCGAGCAAGCTCTCGTGACTTCTTATCTTCGAGTATCCCGGGTACACGTGCGACTCGAATGAGAACGAAATGTGTCGTGGTTTTCCGCATAGAAAAAAAACTCCTCTCCATGCCGTTCGCGTGAGACAGGATAAGAAAAGCCGCGGGCGACCGGCCAAATCGGTATAACAACGTACGTCGTCGTACTCACCTTCCTGTTCGATCACGAAGATCTGATAGTCGATCTGCTGGCGCAGCAGAATGGGGTGCAGGTTGTAAAGGAGAGCCTGCAGATGCTGCAGACGGTCGCGGAACGGAATGATTATGGCGACGCGATGCCGGGCGACGCAGTCCGCCGGCCGGCCGGTGCCGCCTGCTTTCACCTCCGCGAACGTCTTCTCCATCTCGGACAAGGAAGGCGGTAGTAATTTACTGACGACCACCGGCCCGACTGGAACAACACCGAGGGTGTGGGGGGTTGAAGAAGGAGTGGGGAAGAAAATGGAATCGTCGTGCTGTTCGACGCATTTTCCAAGACACTCACCCAGGTTTGGCGGGATGAGAGGACACCGTGGCAGCGTCGTCGCGTTGTTGGTCGCGTTGCTGTTCGCCACCGGGAGCTCTCGCGCGATTCCGCCGTTGGCCAGATTACGGGTAGGCGCGGGCTCGCTTCTGGACGAGTTGGAGACTCCTTTCGCCGATATCGAGGGTATCGTCGTCGTGGAGGACGCATTGCCAGCGCCGAGCAAGCTCGGCACGGTCGCTGGCCCGTAGATGATCAGACCGCGCGGGTGGGTTCTGTACGAGCGGTCTGCGTATCTGCGGAAGAAAGGCGCAAACGAAAGGGGGAAGATGTTATTATTAAAGTACAGATTCGTCGGAAATTTCGCTCGAAAAGCCGTCTCACTCAAAGTCGAGTGACTTTTCGATCGTATAAATCGAACCCTCCACGCTGAATCGTTGAGTGAATATTTTCGTTCGAACTTGAAAAAGTGAATCCGGCGCACTCGACCGTCTCGCTGGAAGAAGTCTATTCTAATATCAAATTCTAATGTCAAATATCAAATGACAGACTCACTCTGATCGACAGAAATATTCACTCACCGTGTACGCGGAAAGAAGAATTCAGTTCCTCTCATATATCTGAATTTCTGTTAATTCGAAACTAGGCGAAAACTCGGTTGCAGCAGCGGAAGAATTTCTGTAGAAAGTTTCTATTCAGCCAACCTGTTCTCAGGTATCTCTCAAACGAGTTTTAACGCGGGCAAATATTCAGACGAACATTTCCGCTCGTTATAACAGAGATATCGTTTCTCGTTACCGCAAGTTCTCGTCTGGTCACCGTTCCGTTATACGAATCGGCGTTTTTTTCCACGTATGCTGGAAAATTTATTCCAAACCGCGGTTAAATGTTCGCTTTTGTCTTGAATCTGAGTGGCAATATTTTCGCTATCGTTTTGAACGAACTTTCGTTCGTTTTCAGTGAGATTTCCTTCCAGAAAATTTAGAAAGAGAGAGAGTAATATAACGATAAGACTCCTCCCGAAGGTAAAGATAGGACTTATTCGCAAGCGCGCGATAAAGTAAAATTTACATTACATATTACATACACAAAATTACAAACCTGCAGCTGGACGTTCTGATTGCTTCCGCATGTCGGTCGCACAACTTGATATTGATAGTGTATCAACGCTGATCAACGGTCGTTTCGCGGTTAACGCCGAGTTCGCCGGGATATCGCGCCATGTATGCGTCTGGGAGTCAATTATCCATCGACTGCGTGTCGCGGGAGCTATTACGGGAGACTGACCGTGCTACGTCCTCGTAATCGAGAGAACCGTCCAACAATTAGCGGCTCGATCGACCGTCTAATCGCGACGAGGATTCACGCCTCGAAGTTGTCCACTAACTCGACCGGCTACGACAATGCGATCGCCGCGTTCGCGTTGATTACAGACAGTTTCTCTCTCTCTCTCTCTCTCTCTCTCGGGGGAAGCGGTTCTTTCACTCGTCATCATTCCCGTTCACCACGAGTAGGTGGATCGATGTTCTCTTCTCGACACCTCGATTGCCTCAACATTTTTTTCAAGATCGGTCCCTAAATCGGAAATGACGGACATGAAGGCGATGAATTTGCGACAAGTCCGTAGTAGCTCCCGCTTTTGCGTTCTAATTCACTTAGAGTTTACGACGCGTCCGAAGGATGCGGCAAGAAATTACGATGGCGGCTTGATCCCCGCAGGACCACCTCTCGTTTACCTTCCGACGTGCTCCTGTGCTTCGTTTCTACCCTCTCTCTCTCTCTCTCTCTCTCTGTTGCTCTCCTCGCTCTCCATTCGTTTTGCGAGAGCGTCAGCGAGTTTCGCCGAGTTTACGAGCCGCCCCGGTTGCAGCTGCAATTTCCGGGTCCGCCACGTCGGCCACCAACCGCTGCGAGTGCAATCCGCGATCTAACGTTCGTCTCTCTCCCTCTTCCTTTCCCTCTCTTCTCCTGCACATGTATCGCGTAGCCCTACGTGAAATCACGAAGCAGCGAGCGATGAGCTTTTTAGCAGCCTTGATAAGGGAAACGCTTTGTGATTTGAGGCGCGACAAACAAACGGTGAATCGAGCGCGTGACTGTGGAGGTAAGGTTTCTCGCTACCTATTCCCTCAATGCTTTCGTATTAAAGTGTTCACGGTATCCGTCATCGTCAGCCTGCACTGAGAGAAATTCCACGAAAATTATAGCCATTTCCGGCCTGAACTATATCTTCTTCCGGTTTTAGGAGGTTGCCGAAGTCGAATTTGATAAGTGTCGATAACAAAAAGCAATTCTTACCATGTATGTTACATAAGGATTGACACGATCACGCTATTCTTTATGTATTTCTTATACGTATAGTATCTTATAAATCTTTCGTAAATGTATAAGTACGATATAAACGTGAATGCAATGAATGTGCACTGCTCAGTTTTACAATTTCCAACGAAAAATTTAACCAAGACACAAGAGAATTTTTCTGACCTTTCGTATTCTCTCAGATCTCCGAATTGAATTGAAAAGATATAAAAATATCGTTCGAAATTTTCCTGATCGCAGAATTGACATATTCGGTACGCTGTGGGGTTTTTCTATCAGGTAAATATTTACGCCAACGTTTGTCGGAAAAATGATTCTCCTGATTACAATTTTTTCCATTTATGCGATTATAGCCATACAAAAAAAGTGCTAGATTCAAATAAATCATTATTTCGACACTCCTTGACAAATATTTGGACTCGGATTAATATATTATTTACTTGATCGAAACACTTTTTGCTGCATACACATATCAACATTTTTTTCTCAGTGTAATACAACATTATTGAGCGACGTTTTAACGCATGCTTATCCATCATTCTCTAGACGGATAATGAGAATGAATCTTTACTGAGTATATCGAGAAGCTGAGAAGAGCAGATACAGGAATAGTGGTTACAGGCGAGCGCGACAGGCCACGTGAAGGGCATTCCTCCGTGTGCGTGCGCCCGTAAGGATGTTCCGATCAGTCGGAATTAGGCGGAATTCCCGCCACGTCCGGAGCGGCATAAATCTGACGTGACTCATCCAGGTCGTCGATGCGCCGGCGGATCGGCCGGTGCCTGCACCTGCCACGGAAATGCTTCGCCGGCTATGCGGCAGATGGAATCGGAATCCAGCGGAGGGAATCTTTCGCTCGCTATCGCGCCGTCGAGATATCTCCAGTGCAATGGCGAGCGCGCGGAAAGCGGCGTGGAAAGCTCGGCAAAGCACGCGCCGGCTACGTAGAAATATTTCGACACACGTGACGGGACTTTTAAAAGCGGCGACGCGATCGACGACTGAGTTACCCGGTGACAAAGACGCGAGGAACGACGAACGTAAAGGAGAACGGCGGGGGAGAGAACAGGATAAAGAGGAGAGCTGTCAGTTTTCGAGCGATCCGGAAGAACGCGCGCAACACGCCGCTGCACAACTCGTTAAGCACGGTTAATGTAAACGCGAAGACTCCGAAAGACTTCCAACCGAAGAGTTTGAAGATTTCAACCCCTCGTCGTCGGAATTATATCCTCGACGTTTCTTCCAAGCGCGTAAAATTCCAATCGCCTCCTGACAGTATCGTCGTGTAGTTCGCGTTTCATTCAATTTTCCGCGTCTATTTTAATCCATCTTCTTATTATTAATTTGTTTTTGTATAAAAATATTGTTTCTTCGTATATGTTGTCAGAATAGTATTTATATATTGCACTAAAAGGGGAGTAATATTTTCCTTTAATAAATAAATATAATTATATGATATAAACGTATTGAACACACAACAAACGTATTGAGCACAGTTTTAATGCATAAAAAATTAGTTTGATGCGTGATCGATGCAGCACCGCAAAGGGTTAACCCTTCCTCCCATTTAATCCCAATAATCAAATATCAAATATTTAACGTAAGAGATTAAGAAGTTTCGACAGATGGCAATTTTCCCGTCGAACTTCCCCGGGTGGTAGGAGAGTAAGAGATAAGTCGTCGATCTGTCAACGGTTGACGAGGTAACCTATAACGCCGGCGCGCACTGTCTCCGATAAAATCCATCTCGTGTCGGCTCGGAGCTTGCCGAGCTGCTTCTATCGGGGCTTGGGTAATTTCGTTTCTGTCTAATTCGAGACGATACCGGGAGCGTGGGATGCCGTTCCCATCGCGCGAATCTTCGGGTAGCGCAGGGGGGAACTCGTCTTGGCGATGATGCATCCTTAATGTCGGGACGCCTCCACGGGTCCTCCGTTTATCTTTGGAAAAAGTGACGAGGAGAGGGAAGGAAGGGAAGGAAAACAGAAAGAAAGAAAGAAAGGAGGAAGGGAGGGAGGTAGATAGGTAGAAAGGAAGGAAGGAAGGAAGGAAGGAAGGAAGAGCTTAAAGGTCCTCGGGGATGTCCCGAGGGCGTCAGAAAGCGAGGGGGCTGCTCATCGATCGACCACGTCGTGGACGGGAAGGTCCGTTAAAAGTTTGACAGGACCTCATACTCGAACTCGCCGTAAAACGGATTTTCAAGCGGAGCTGTAGCGACGGACGTCAGGGATGGAACAAAACGACGCTTGCGGGCGGACTTTAAGTACGCGAGTTACCTTACTTTTATGTAAAAGTACGACGTTAAGGTCCTCTTTAGGCCCCCTCTGCTTTGCGGGGACACCTTCGATGGTGGATACGCACGTAATCGCGACGTTCGCACGTAGATACACAGCGCGTTTCACTAATAATTCACATTACTCGAGCATTCGGACTCGATGACATATCGGGACACGCATCTGCGTCGTCCGAAGCGGTTCTCAAACTCACCACCGACACCGCACCCACCATCGAGACGCCCGCCGGATTCCCGGTATTTCCCAATCGGCGAACGGTGAAGAATCGCTTCGAAAAAAACTTCGGCAACGTTTAGAGGATGAAAAATGACTTTTCTCGCCTCCGCTCGCGGAAACTGCGCGTGCGGCGCGCTCCGAGGAACAACGCCCCGTATAAATCAGAGTGCGCTTCCGTCAAAGCTCAAGAGAACCCGCGATCTAATGCCGCGTCGTTGCCATTAACGCGATCCGATAAGACAGATTGCATCGGGCAATGGCATCGCTACGTAATGATGTATCTCGTTAATGCGCGACATGCCGAAGTAACGTTTACCGGCTTGATTTGTAGCGACGATCGCGACGAACGTCGCGCTCGCTTCGACCGCGATCGACGTGATTCGATTTCTCGCGGTTGCACGCATCGCGACGCGTCACGAATCGCAGAACGAAGAGCCGCGTGGAAAAGAAAGAGGCGCGCGCGAATG